AACCCAAAAGTCCTCAAATGTGCAAAACAATCATTTTAGTGGTTAGCAGTGGTTTGAGACATTTGGGTAAGCCTGCAAAATGGGTTTTATTTCCCCCAAATTGGGAATTCTAATGATGTTAATTATATATATATATATTTAATTGTACATAATAATATATGATAATATATAACTATATACAATTAAGTAACAATGATAACATTAATGTAATATATAATATGTAATCTATAATATTTAAAATACCATATATCATATATCATATATATAATATAATATATCACATTTAATATATTATATATCATATATCATATTTAAAATATAATATATCATATATAATGTATAATATTTAATATATAATAGATAATATTTAATATGATATGTAATATTCAATGTATAATATTTAATACATCATATACAAAATTTAATATTTAATAAATTAAATATTATATATTATATATTATGTCTTATATATTTTATTTTATATATTATACAAATTTATTTTATACACTATATACTATGTATATAATTTTATTTTTTATACATAATACATTTTATATTGGATATTTATTTATTTTTTATTTTTTATATATTATATATTGTTTACTATTTAGTTTATATTATATATTACATATATTTATGTTATATATTATGTATTATTTTATATATTATATATTATAAACTATATTTTATATTTTAAATATATTATATTATATATTAAATATTATTTTCTATATTTTAGATATTATAGTTTCAGTATATTATATTTATTATATATATTTAAATATTTATATATATTATTTATATAATGTAGTATGATATATAATGTATAATATATAATCTATTTAGTATAATATAGTCTGTATAATGTATAATATTTAATACATTATGTATAATATAGTCTGTATAATCTATAATATTTTATATTTTTTATAATATATAATATTCAATTTATAATTAATAATTTATTTTAGTTAATATATTTAATATTTAATATATATCTTATATTTTATATAATTTAGAATGGCATATTTTAAAATATAGTATTCCCTTCGACTTGGTTGGTACCCCATTATCGGACAAGCCTATTGGGTCATTTCTTTCATATGCGCAAGCCCGGGATGATGCGCAACAGAGATCGCTTTGAGATTTGTCATTCCTTGATCATCCTCTTCCAATGCCCTATGTCTCCATGTGTTGATCCATCCACGTTTATATTGTTTTTTGTTTTTGTATTTACTTATATATATATATATATTCTGTAGTACACATACACACCTGCCCCTTGAAAACCTCCGTGTTTTCTCTGGTTGCTGTTGGAAAAGGCTGCAATGTGCAGATTTTTTGGACCAAATACTGTGTCCGCCTGTAATGGCAAAAAACAAAAATCAAGCGTTCGAACCAAACAAGCTTTGTAGGCTTACCCGTACCAAAATCCATGATTATTCAGGCCCAAATGATCAAAGCTGTAAATTTCAATGGAACGGTCAAGGCGGTTTGTACATGAACATAAATTATATATATATACATTATATATCATTATATGATGTATATATTAGATATGTGTATATATTATATATGTGTGTATATAATATGCATACACAATTATGTATTTATGTAAGTATTGGCGAGCACAAAACAACATTTTCGCAAGATTGTTCCAGTTCCATTCTTGCTGGTTTTTGCTCGTCCATGCTTTGCTTGCAACATCTTGCAGCAATACCACAACGGTTTGGAAAAGGGATGAAACCTGCAAACCAGAACTTGGACTGCTAGGCGAACAAAAAAAGGCACTTCAACAGAAGACATCGGCGTGGCTCAACACAATCAAGCGTATAAATATATATATATATATATATATGGTCTTTCTAGAGCTAGTCTATGTCTATCTATCAATCTACGTGTCTTTTATAAAATCCATTTCATACAAATACATGTCAGTGTACACATAAACTGAAAAGCATGTATTAATTATATAGATGTACCATGTTTACAGTACTGAAATGGACAAATTTTGTTGGTCCCTAGGACTTCTTTCTTGAGCCTTGTTGCTGGACCCGCCGAGTGATGTGTATTCTCACCCAACTGTATATCGACCCCCAAGTCATTGATGACAAAAAGTGGGAAATTCGAACATGTACCTGGGATCCGGTCAAAAAATCTAGTGAGGAAGATGTAAATCAAGTTGCGAAAGTAATTCTGGGAAAAAACATTTCGACCAACCACCACTATAGTTGGTAAACATCATCGAACTCACATATCGGAATGACCTTTCGGCTTTTTTTGTTGCGGGGTTTTTAAATCATGATACATGTCCACGAAATAACCCCCCGTCCACCTATAGTTATAAACCAACAGAAACCTATGCAGTTTGGGCACCCCTTCTTGGTTGGATGTCAGCGACGGCACAGGTATGTTGCAGATGAGCATAATGAGCATGGGTTCCCTCAGTCACCCAGTCACTTGGAGACCATGCAAGATGGGGCCCTCAGTCGAGCTCGCGTTCAGAAACGCCTAAAAAAAGTGGCGACAAAAACGATGGTTTATGTTTAAGGTAAATATAAATAACTAGTTCATGGGAGTTATATATTAATTATAAATATTATAATGGTTTATAATCCAACAAACATAACTGGGGGGGCCCATCCTGTGGGAGGTGTTCAATAGGAATGGGGGGTGGGATTAGAACGTAAAGATTGTCCCATCGAAGGTATGTTGATTATTAGTTTCGAGACTTTTTTTGAATGGGAAATGGCAGGCTTTACCACCAATTGTGGAGTAAAAATCAGGGTTTCAGCCGCCGTAATTTCCCGAACTAAACAAGTTCTCTGGATATATATATATATACATATATATATATATATATTCACATGATATATATATATATATATATACCCCTGATATATATATATATATATTATACATACATATTATTTAATTTATATATATATATATTTATTTATGTATCTATTGACTTATTTATTTATTTATTTATATAGTGGACTAGGGTACTCGCACAACCAAAATCAACTTATCGATCATCATAGTCTCCATTTGTCAATGAAAATGCCAGTATACCGTACGGGTACGAGTACATTATTTTTCGATATGTTTGTTGGACCTTACTTACTGAAGGTGTTCACATAAGATGTCCAGTACGGCAAGGACCATGGGTGGCTCTGAACGACATGTGGCGGGCTAGTTCACAATCTCGAATGAAACTAGTTAGCCTATTTGATTTAAAGAAAAGGGCTTCCCAAAAATCGTCGACAGCAGGGTGAGAACACAATAGAAGAGGACATTGCTAAAGGCTTAAGGGTTAGCCATGGATCCAATCCAAGGTGGAAACAGTGGAAATCTGACCCATTTTTCCGAAGCAGGGCCATTACCAAGCCGATCCAACTGAGTCCCTTGCAGCAAAAGGCACGCATCAAGAGGAACTGTATGCCTTTTTTATTCTTGTGTTGAATATATCACTGTACATACACTGGTAGTATATTTGATCCAGTATATACAATGTATAATATCAACATTTACACAGTTTTGTAGATCTATATTATATCATTAAGTATATATATGCCCCGCAAGACATAACAGCAAAGCATGTTCACCGTGTTCACGCCCCTCTTCCAACCACCTCCCAAGAAGGTGAGGTTGATCCCCCGATGAACCCTAGCCGCCCTAGCCTCGTTCGAGTCGAGGCTTTTTGCAATGCACCCTGCGTTCACATGATCAAGAAACCCGGCCTGTATCAAATCACGATGGTCACACGATGTGTATCGAAGATCTGAAGCAGCTGGGGACATAGCGGGACTCTAGCGTTTTTTTTCCCATAGAAATGACAGGTGCAATGTGGGGCCTTCAAGACCGGTTTCTGTTGGGTTTATCATGTTTATCTCTATAGCAGTTGGATCTAGGGTTGATATCTACAAGTGGATTGGATGAAAATCAACCTGCATCCATGGTGCCAAACATTGTACCCATTGATCCGGAGAAATTCGAATAGTTCCCAAGTCCTGTGAATTTGTTGGCCATTTAGTTGCTGCCTGTCCTGACATGGGATTTCACGACACAAACTCCTCTATGAAAAGCGGGAGGAAGAGCGCCCATCAGACATGAAATTCAGGTGACAAGTACCAAAGAACAGCCGGTTTGTTTGGTCTGGTCTCAAGGCAACTGAAGGCTTTCTCCATGTTTCTTCTCAGTTTTCAAGTGTTTTCATGGTTTTGCATCAGAATTATCACGGATTATCTTTCAAATCTGTATGAAAATGAGTGAAACTGGCAAATAGTCGAATAATATTCAATGGTGGGTAGATCAATCTGAAGCATGATGCCCATCTTCTCCAGGCCGTAGAGTCCCGAGGTCTGAGCTTTTTCGAAGCAGAAAAAGGAAGACACGACAAGAAAAGGGAGACAAGACCAATAGTGAAACGATTAGCCCGTTGAATTTTCTGAGAGTCAGTGATATCTATATCTATATCTATATATTTATTTGTATACATACATATATATATAATATATATATATATATATAATATATATATGTATGTATATACACGTAGCTGCTGTGTGATTCGGTCTGACGAACGTGTTTCGTCTGAGATGGGATGATGATCCCCATTGGACGAGTCAGATGGAGCTGCAGATAGCCGTGGTATACTTTCCACATGAAAATTGCTGGTCACTGGTCAGGGGTTGGTAACTGTCCCATTTTGGGAATATTGGACATCACCTTATAGTAGCCATTATAGACCATATACCTAATGGTTGGGTGATGTTCAATGGGGACATTTAATGACCCATGCTGGTAAAAAAAAAACGTTCAACGCGATTCAGAAACGATTTCTCAGTCATAGGTAAAAACTGACACGGCTGCTGTGGTGACAACATGAAAATGTGTGATGTAAATCTGCATCATTTGGACCCATGTAAAACAGACCCATCACATCCATTCACATCCAACATCCGCAGACCGGCTGCCAAAGTGCTCCGTCCTGAGGAATGGCTACTGTGATGCTGGAGCATCATGTGGCTTTTGCCACCTCCCTCACAGCAAAAAGGTTCGTCTCAACAAACACCAGCGTCAGTTCCTGCAGTCTCTCGATGCAGGCGACATCTTCGGCGGAGCGATGGCGGGCGGGTCGCCCCCGACGAGTTAAAGTCGTTGCTTTATTACTCTTTATAACTTATAACCTCCAGTAAAAATCGTGAACGTGAAAAATAATCCCTAGTTATTGGAGTTACAAAACAACCAAGCTCTCTGGGGGAGCCAACATTCAATGTATGTGTTGTTTTTTTTGCCATGAAAACTGCTGGAATACAACTATGTTTGATGGATGATGATGAACACATAGGGGGATTGGCGTTGTTAAGTTATACCCTGTGTATATATATATATCAGGGGTTATCATAATTTATGAGCCGTGTATCCCCACCATTTGGGACATTTTTTCGAGGTGTTTGACAGTCCTCAAATGGGTAAAGCTTGGTTGAATAGGTGATACTCTTGCGGCCGGTTGTGTGCACACATGAATTCACAATGGCGATTTCACCATCCTTCAAGGAGTTCTTCGGAATGTTTATGGGATAAATGAAGGATCAGTTATGTCCATTTACATTCCATTTACCAGTTATAACTGGTTATCAATGGGATTATGCATTCTATAAATGGGGTTTTCTTAGTACTTACAACTGATAGCCATGGCCACAACTGGATATGACCAACCGAGTCCACCAAAAAGACAAAAAGTCCGAGTTTGGCCGGGTATGAAAGGGATGACGTCCGTCATCAGGCCAGACATGTCGCTCTTCTTTATTGTTTCACGCTAAGGATGAAGGGTCATAAGCTGGGCGAAAAAAGGGTTGGCTAGACAGGCTTAGTCCACTTTTAATATCTTGTAACATCTTATAACTGGGGTTACGGGAAGCAGCTACAGCCACAAACGGTTTTGCACGGTCGGTTTTTCCTGCTTCCCAGTTTTTTGATTTGGAGGTTTCCTGAAATGGGGATATCCCAATAGCTGGATGGTTTATAATTGGTTTATTTCATGGAAAATCCATCTATAAATGGATGACTGGGGGTACCCCCATGACTTAGGAAACCTCCATTTTTCGCAGGTCAAAAGGTGGTCTTCATTGCACCCATCATCCTTCAAAAGATGGAAGGCTTCTCTGAGCAGGTGAGTGGGGCTGATCATTCCATTTTCATGCGGTGACTTACTGACATATACATAAATATATATATATATGTATATATATATATATGTGTATGTATATGTATTATATTATACATATAGAATATATATATATATGTAATTATAATATAATTTAATATGATATGATAAGATAAACATATAGTATAATATAATATGATATAATATAATCTAATATAATATGAGCTGATATTATATTATATTTTATAATGAAATATAATATAATATAATACTCGAATAATACAATATAACACACACATATATATATATATATAACACTAATATACATAATATAATACATATGTATATAAATATATCTCATTTTCGGATCCATCCATACTTCGTTCCTAACGGGCCAGAATCGAGGCACGGCCCCATCTTTTTGACCCAGATGTGTTGAAATCGATTTGCTTCTTGCAAGTAGATATATAAGGCAGACATATATATATATATATACATTGTAGACATAATATATATTAACCCAGCTTTGCAACCCAACAGCATACCTGAATCTTCCACCTACGTCTTTTTTCAGACCCTGTGCCAAAGTCCTGTTTTTTCAGTACCCAGAAAACTTTTCAGGACCTACTCTCAAATTCAGGACCTGGCCATTTTGGGGTATCAATGGTAATGGCAATCATTGGGTGCAAACATGTGAAACCAACATTTGGTGGATATTCAAGCCATTGGCATTGATCCACGCAAATAAAAGCACTCCCAGCCCAAACTCATGGCAAGGCAGGATCAGAATATAGTATATTCCAGAAAGTATGTCAGAATAGATGCCAGATAGGATGCCAGAAAGAATGTCAAATAGAATCTCAGAAAGAATGTAAGATAGTATGTCAGAACATACATGCCACATATACGTCCAGATGATATGTCAGAAACTATGTCAGAATAGTGTGTCAGGGTGGGGATCACTCTTAGTAAGGCAATTTTGAAAATATATTTCAGGTTCGGAATTTTCAAACTGTTGTCCTTCAGGCGCCGAAGCTCCCGTTGAAGGTCAGCATCGCCCCATGTCAACTGGTCCAGTCCCACTTCCATTTCAACAAGTCCAACTTCATCGATTAGGGTGTTGGTTGAATGGACTTGGGACTCTAGCTGGCACGGCATCCCTTGTAACCCTGTAGACACTGTAGTGGGCAAAAAGATTGTAACACACAGAATCAGCATCATTTTGATCAGGCATTCTTTTGCTAATCCTTTCTCCCTATTACGAAAAATACCCCCAAATGACAAAAACTAGGTGCGATTTCCAATTTTGGGAAATGTCAAATTGGTTAATCTGATTTTTAATTGATCCCCTTGAGGAAACAATTTTAAAAATGAAGGTACCATGTGAGGGTTTCACCCCCAAAGAATAAAAAACTAGTCAACACCGGGGTGTCTTTTATTGGGGTCCGTCCTTTAAAATCGTCAATTTTAGTTTTTTTAATTCAGGTGTTGGTGTTTTATTTGATACTAGGCGAAAGCTTCGAAATCCTATTCTTGGCAGTATTCTATTTAAAGATTATTTTCATGGATTTTGAAATTAGAAACAAAAAACGGTTTAATCCCTTCCCCCTGTTGCTAAACAGTCGCCCCTTCACCCACCCACCCAAATAACAAACACCTGGAGGAGTTTTTAGTATTGGGGGGGTCTTTAGTATTAGGGTACGAAGCTTCCCCCTAATACTGATAAAAAACACACATATATATATATACACATATTTCTATTTCAAAATCGATCAGATTTCTTTCTTTTTAAATCCAATTAAAATATGGCAAACAAGTGGATTCCGAAGCTTAATATCAAATAAAAACCCCCAACATAAAAAACTATGTATGTTTTTCTATTTCGAAATCGATTAGATTTCCTTTTAAAAATTAAATAACATATGGCCAAAAAATTGGACGTCGAAGCTTTTCCCTTATATTAAACCCTAATATCATTTTGTTTTTTTTCCCGTTTCAAAATCGATTAGATTTCCTTTTGAAATCTAATACAAAAAAACAAAAAATTGATTTTGAAGTTTTCCCCTAATATCAATTTAAAATCCAATTATTAAAATATGTTCAAAAATTGGATTTCGATGCTTCCCCTAATCTTGCATGAAAAATTCCAATATAAAAAACTAAATTTGTTCTATTTCAGAATCGATTAGATTTCCTTGTAAATTCCAATTAAGATATTGCCAGAAAAATTGATTTCGAAGCTTTCCCCTCATATTAAACCCTCATATCAAAGACTATTTTTTCTATATCAAAATTCATTAGATTTCCTTTTGAAATCTAATTAGAATATGGTCAAAAATTGGATTTTGAAGTTTTCCCCTAATATTACATTAAAAAACCCTAATATAAAATATTTTTTTCTTTTTTGAAATCGATTCGATTTCCTTTTAAATTGTAGTAACAAAAATAAAAACAAAAACCGGATTTCGAAATGTTTCCTCTAATATTAAATTACCAGCCCTAATATATTTAAAAAAAAAACTGTTTCAAAATCGATTAGTTTTCTGTTTAACATATAATTAAGATATTGCTAAAAATTGGATTTCGAAGTTTTCCCCTAAGATTCAATTAAAAACACTAATTAAAAAAACTATGTTTTTACGATTTCAAGAATCGATTAGATTTCCTTTTGACATCCAGCAAAAATATTGCCAGGAAATGCCAAAAAGTGGATTTCGAAGTTTTCCCCCAATATTATATAAACGTTGTAATATAAAATACTTATTTTTTCGACCTTAAAAGACCCTAGTTTTAAAAATCACCGGGGCTGACTAGTTTTTATTTTTTGGTGGTGAAATCCTGAAATGGGACCTTCATGTTTAATTTGTTTTTGAAAAGGTATCAATTAAAAGTCAAACTGGCCAGCCTGAAATTTCCCAAAATTTAACGCGGACCCTAGTAAAAGGAATCAATGTAATATTTTAGTATTTAGGGTACGTTTAGTAAAAGGAGGTGGGGATTAGTAAGGTTTTCAATTTAATATAAGGGGAAGCTTCGAAATCCAATTTGGCAAGATTTGAGTTAGATTTTGAATAGGAATTCAATCGGTTTTGAAATATAAAGTTCATTTTTTAAAACGAATGTTTTCAATTTAATGTCAGGGGGAAGCTTCGGAATCCAATTTTGGCAATATTTTAGTTAGATGTTATTTAAAAAATGTTTTCCAATTTAGTTTTTTTTAACCAAGGGGGAAGTTTCGCACCCTCATACTAAATACCCACTAAATACAAAAAAACTATTCCGTGTGTTCATTATTGGGTGGGGAGGGGCAGACGGTTTATTATGACGCAGGGATTGGTCAGGCATCACTTGCTGGAATTATTGGATTCTTTTGGGATGATTGGTATGATGTTTAGTCAGGCATGGTTCCCTTCAGTCATGCACGATTTTTGCAAAAATCCTATTTAGGCACGACCCCAAAATCCCAGCCCGGCAAACTCCGGCCCGGGCCCGGCAAATTCCGGCCCGCGCCCTGCAAATTCCGGCCCTGCGTTTTTCCAAAATCAGGCAAAACCAGTAAATCAGGTATTAAGTCAGGTGTAGTTACCTTTTAAGTCATAAGGCTAGTCAGGCATGGTTCCAGTGGGTACCTTTTAATTGTGAAGGCTAGTCAGGCATGGTTCCCTGAATTCAGGGGCATGGGTACCTTTTAATTATGAAGGCTAGTCAGGCATGGGTTCTGTTAAGTCAGGCGTGGGTGGGTACCTCTTAATTATGAAGGCTAGTCAGGCATGGTTCCCTTAAGTCGGGTGTGGTTACGCTTTAAGTCATGAAGGCTAGTCAGGCATGGGTACCTTTTAAGTGATGAAATCTGAATCAGGCGGAGCTCCTATTCTAAATGTGTTAAATCCAATTGTTCAGTGTGGAAAATCGATTTTTTGGCTGGTCTACGGGCAAACCCTGTGTCTTCCAATACCATAGCGTGCTGATGTCGCTTGCCTGCATAATAGTTAAGGCCAAAGCTTAGGTCATCAGTGTGATCCTGAAATGGCGCCACGACCAAGAAGATGACATGTGTAAAATGGGCCCTGGATTAACAAAGGCTGACTAATGAATTTGGAGGATGCCACTAAAGTATGACATGTAATCACTTTTGAGGAGCACTCTATGGCACGCAGCGCGCGCAGCCTGCTTTACGGTTTAGCGTTTGAAAGTTTTAGGCTTTGCCTCTATGGCACGCAGCGTTTGAAAGTTTAACCGTTTACCTCTATGGCAGGCTGTGCGCGCAGTACGCGTTACGGTTTAAAGTTTGAAAGTTTTAGGGTTTATGTGTGTGGCACGCAGTGCGCGCAGCGCGCATTAGGGTTTAGGGTTTGGAAGTTTTATAGTTTATTTTATTGCATGCAGCGTGCACAGCGTGGGTTGAACTTTAGGGTTTCGAAGTTTTAGGGTTAACCTCCATGACACGATGGTTTAGGGTTTGGAGATTTTAAGGGGTACTTCTATGGCACACAGCGCGCGCAGCGCGCGTTAGGGTTTAGGGTTTAGGGTTTGGAAATTTTAGGGTTTACCTCTATGACACGAGAGTTTCAGGTTTGAAGATTTTAGGGTTTATTTCTATTGCACAAAGCGCGCGCAGCGCGCATTAGTGTTTAGGGTTTGAAGGTTTTAGGGTTTATCTCTGGCACGCAGCGCGCACAGCACGCATTAGGGTTTAGGGTTTGGAAGTTTTAGGGTTTATTTTATTGCATGCAGCGCGCACACCGCGGGTTAAACTTTAGGGTTTGGAAGTTGCATAACACGATGGTTTAGGGTTTGGAAATTTTAGGGTTTACTTCTCTGGGACACAGCGCGCGCACCGCGCATTAGGGTTTAGGGTTTGGAAGTTTTAGGGTTTACTTTATTGCATGCAGCGCGCGCAGCGCGCATAGAGTTTAGGGTTTGGAAGTTTTAGGGTTTCAAGGGTTCCAAGGTTCCAGGGTACCAGGGTCCCACGGTTTCAGGGTTCCAAGGTTTCCAGGGTTCCAAGGGTTCCAAGGGTTCCAGGGTTTCAGGGTTCCAGGATCCCAGCAGCGTGCCAGGTGTGCAGGGTTGCAGGGTTCCAAGGTTCCAGGGATCCAAGGTAGCAGGGTTCCAGAATCCTTGAGGGTTCCTGGGTGCCAAGGTTCCAAGGTTTCAGGGTTCCACGGTCGCAGGGTTCCAAGGTTCCAGGGTTTCAGGGTTCCAGGGTTCCAGGGTTCCAGGGTTCCAGGGTTCCGGGGTTCCAAGGTTTCAGGGTTCCAGGGTTCCAGGGTACCAGGGTCCCACGGTTTCAGGGTTCCAAGGTTTCCAGGGTTCCAAGGGTTCCAAGGGTTCCAGGGTTTCAGGGTTCCAGGATCCCAGCAGGGTGCCAGGTGTGCAGGGTTGCAGGGTTCCAAGGTTCCAGGGTTCCAAGGTTGCAGGGTTCCAGGGTGCCAAGGTTCCAAGGTTTCAGGGTTTCACGGTCGCAGGGTTCCAAGGTTCCAGGGTTTCAGGGTTCCACGGTTCCGGGGTTCCAGGGTTCCAGGGTTCCAGGGTTCCGGGTTCCAAGGTTTCAGGGTTCCAGGGTTTCAGGGTTCCAGGTTCCAGGGTACCAGGGTACCAGGGTCCAAGGTTTCCAGGGCTTTCCAGGGTTCCAAGGGTTCCAAGGGTTCCAAGGGTTCCAAGGGTTCCAAGGGTTCCAAGGGTTCCAAGGGTTCCAAGGGTTCCAGGGTTTCAGGGTTCCAGGATCCCAGCAGGGTGCCAGGTGTGCAGGGTTGCAGGGTTCCAAGGTTCCAGGGTTCCAAGGTTGCAGGGTTCCAGAATCCTTGAGGGTTCCAGGGTGCCAAGGTTCCAAGGTTTCAGGGTTCCACGGTCGCAGGGTTCCAAGGTTCCAGGGTTTCAGGGTTCCAGGGTTCCGGGGTTCCAGGGTTTCAGGGTTCCAGGGTTCCGGGGTTCCAAGGTTTCAGGGTTCCAGGGTTCCACAGTTCCAGGGTTCCAGGGTTCCGGGGTTCCAAGGTTTCAGGGTTCCAGGGTTCCAGGGTTCCAGGGTGATTTTGAAGGCTGCAAGTCCCCGCGAGCCAGCCCCAGCCCTAGAGATTGAAACCCAACAGGCCCTGCTGTTGGGAATTTATATATAGGTTATATATATATATATGTAGGTTATATATACAGTTAATATACCCAGTCGCTCTGATGCTGTGGTCACTCCGATGACTTCAAAGGGCTCTCGTCAGGTGTTGTTCGTTGAAGAGTTAAAGAAAGCCGTGGAGAAGTCGGAGAGGCCCGGGAGAGCTCTTCAGCGTCCAGAGAGAAGATGGGAGGAGATGGGAGAAGGGCCCAGAGAAAACCAACTTGACTTTTTTTTGCGATGTTTTTTCCGACAAAGAAAAATGGTTTCTCTGAGTGTCAATGAATACCATATTTATACCATGATTCATATAGCACCCCTTTATGTAAATGACCATTACATGCACCTAGTCCATTCTTACTCCCCGCTTGGTGTTGTACTTGTGTTTTACTAGCATGCTTCTGTTCATGTTTGTGTTGGTTCCTAGTGTTGTGGAAAGTTCGTGCGACATGGGCTCAACCTTTCTCACCAGGAGCTGGGATGGAATTCGAACCGACAGTTTGCTGGGATGAATATTTGGATACCTTGCCGAGAGAGCACATGTTTTTATCTGTCAGACTCAACGAAAAAAATGGTCAGAACTCAATCCTCCGACGATTTGTATGAATCATTCCAACAGCAGAAACCAAGATTTAATTGTTATATATAGTGACTATAGTGATCTATCGTAAATATAGAAACAAAATTCCCCAAAAAAATCGCGTCGTTTCGTGCTGGACAGGGAAGGATCAATCTCGGTCGCCTGCAAGAAGCAGCCGCGCCCTGAGTTGGACAAAAACAAGGGGGTACTATATTATGATCACTAAACATAAACATAGACCTATTATTACTAAACATAGACATTAAATATCATTGCATGACATTAATATATCGCAGTATATTTCAGTTCTACTATGATATGATCATATGATGATTGTGAATATATGGATCTTGAAATATATGGGGGGTTCCATAAATGGTGGATTCCCAATAGCTTGATGGTGTATAATGGGGAATCCTATCAAAATGGATGATTTAGGGATACCCATATTTTAGGAAGCCTGCAGATATATCTCAAAAATTGATGGTTGCATCCCCTTTTTCATACATAGTCAAATCCCCAGTATGAAAAAACATAAAATCCTATCTCGGGTGGTAAGACTAGTTATTATTGTGAACAACAAACATAGTACCACTAGTACTAGATAAATAATAACTATTGCTATATTGTGGTACCACTAAGTAATCGTTACTATACTATTACTGCATATATATATATACATATTATGTACAATCAAGAGAGACCCCACCCCCAACTAACATGACGACTCTGCCATGATATTTTAGGGTTTGAAGACTTTCATCCTTTCCGGTGGCTTAATTTCTATGGTCTGTGTTAGTTCGGGGACTGTTTATGTGACTGTAAAGCCAAAGCCCGCTACCAGTTGTAAATGGGGTTATCATTCCATAAATGGGCTTATAACTAACTTATAGCTGGTAAAGGGCCATAAGTGTGTGTAATATTACACATCTGGTTGAAAAAAAGCTATTGTACTTGGAGCACAACCGACATCAAATGACCTTCGTATTTTCCCATGAAGCTATTACAGTTATGGCCCTTTTACCAGTTGAAAAATATAAGCTATAGTTACAACCCCATTCATGGATTGATCCTCGTTTATAATTATAAAGATAACCGGTTTTCTAGGGCTGAAAAACTCTATAGGTATGTATATATATAGTATATATATATAGTATATATATATAGTATATATATATGTAGTTTTTATGTGTGTATATATATATATATATATAGTGTGTATATATATATATATAGTGTGTATATATATATAGTGTGTATATATATATATATGTTGAAATTTACACCTCCACATAATTGTCACACAACCACTGTGTTGTACGTAGCCATTTTGGCTCAAGGGTAAAACAGTTGAGTGTGCTGTTTGCTGTGCATATTTTCTGAAAGTGGTAGCGGAGCACTGGCTCCGGTAAAGGGCTCCTTGGGTAAGTGATACCAATGGCTACCCCGGAAGAGCAGTTAGCTCAGTTGGCGGATCGAGTGAATCAGCTTGGACAGTTGCTCCAACAAAGCCAAGAAAGGAACGCTCTGTTGGAAGGCCGCATGCAAGGACTGGAAGCGGCAGGAGCACAGATGGGACCCGCAATTCAAGCACTGGCAACAGCACAGACAGAAGTCGCAAACGCAATGAAGAAAGATGAAAAGAAAATCAACCTAGTGGACAACAGAGGAATTGGAAAGCCGGATAAGTTCAGTGGTAAAGAGAGTGAGAGCTACCTCAGATGGAGAATCAAGACAGAGTCATTCATGTTTTCAGTGTTCCCGGAGATGGAGCAAGTACTGAATTGGTGTGAAGAACAGGAAAACACTGTGACGGAAGCTCGGGCCCAAGCTGCTTTCGGCGTGGGCACGGCTAGTCCAGTGGATGACCTGAAGGATAAGAGCGCACAGATTTATTCTGTGTTGCAGAATCTACTCGAGGGAGAACCGTTCATGATTTTGAGGAATACAGAAAAGGCCAATGGACTCGAGGCCTGGCGACGTATCAATCGCCGATACGATCCCTCTACTGGTGCCAAGAAATCAGCACTCTTGAGGCACATCTTGAATCCAGGAAAATGCAAGCTTGAGGAACTCAGTGAGAGGATTGAAGGATGGATGGAGCTTGTGAACCGCTACGAGAGCAGAAAGGACAGCGCAGGAAACAGACAGAGCATAGCTCAAGACATCAAGATGTCGATCTTGGAGTCCATGTGCCCTCCAGAGGTCGAAAGACACCTACAACTTAACAGAAGCCGTTTCTTGGACTTCGACGACATGCATGCCGAACTCGCCAGCTACCTTGAAACACGAGTTGGAGTGAAGCTCAAAATTGAGTCACTTGGCAGCAAACCGAAAGGTGAAGATGACATGGACATTGGAGGGTTTGGCAAAGGTAAAGGCAAGAAAGGCGGAAAGGGCTCCAAAGGTAAAGGCAAACATGGAGGCAAAGGCAAAGCTAAAGATAAAGGAAAAGGTAAGTCGAGTGGAAAGCAAGGGAAACATGGTGGCAATTCTGGCTCAAGCCTGTCCGTGGTTTGTTTCAACTGCGGAAAGGCTGGACATTACCAGAAGGATTGCAGGTCACCCCCCAACAGTAGCAACAACAAAGGCAAAGGTAAAGGAGGAAAATCCAAAGGAAAAGGGAAACAAATCAGCAGCATGGAACAACAGGGTGAACATCAGGAACCTGAAAGAGAGGCCGAAACCGGCTATCTCGAGCTTGCCATGTTGGCTGCAGTCTCGGACGACGAACCAGTACCGGGAGAAGTCGAAGTACCGAATGTTGGATTGCCAGATGCAACTCGAGTAGAAGCAAGGAAAAGGTACCGAAGACTGTTGAGAGAAGGAGCTACGATGACATGGAGGGACATTCCGATCACAAGGTACAGACAAAGACTTGCGGCATCACTTGAAGCTGCAAGCAAATACCGTGGATCGGTTGCCCAGTCGATGGCTCAGATGGTGTTCCGCCGAGAAGGACTCGAAGATGCCTGCAGTTCATGCGATGATCGTGCAGGGCCATCTACAAGTGCAGCAATGGACTATGCTGCAAGGAGGTCTGCCCACGGAGTTGGGTCGGCTGAAACTGGCCAGGCAGCGCCGGAGATCCGAGAAGAAGATGAAGATACTGTGGATGATACCACAGATTCTGAAGCTGAAGATGAAATCGAAGATGAAGCCGAGGCTGAGACCAAAGAACCAGAAGAGCCTGATGAAGATCCAGGATACGAAGCTGAAGATGACGAGGACGTCGAAGCTGTGATGGAAGGATACCTTGATGAAATGAAAGAGTATGACATGGATCAGGAAAGAGAGAACATCAGGAAGATCCTGAATGAAGCCAAGGAATTCCTCACGGCTGAAAAGGATGACAATGAGGTCCAGAGGCGATTGGAGTTGGAGAAGTTGGCAAAATCGCCGGAGAAGGATGAGAATGAAGTGGAAGCAAAAGATGATGAGAAACCAGTCACAAAGGAAACGACCCTGCCTGATTCAGGCAGAGTTGTGACCCCGATGACTGGCATTCTCATGCATCGTACCATCGAAGGACTTCAAGTTGGCCGATTGCACTATGAGAAACGTAAGTTGGCCGAAATGATCGAAAATGCTGAAGATGAGGAAGAAGTTCAAAGACATGAGCAACGCATCAGAGAAATTGAAGAGGAGTTGAAGCAGTTACGCAACTACATCTCAAAACAGGATAAGAGTACCAGAGAAAATCCTGTGAAGATGCTGACCAAAGAGAACCTGACGGATCAGCAATGGCATGATGCGCGCTACTTCAGGGCTATCGCAGCAGGAGTTCCGCACAACGAAGCATGGCGTAAGGAGAAAGCACGACGCCGAGCTATCATCCACCGACAGAAAGGTGTGGGTGAAAGAGCTGAAGTTCGAAGGGAACTACATGCCAAATGGATCAAGGAGTATAGGACCAGAGCAGTGAAAGAGGAGGAAAAGATACCCTTAGACACAGAACAGATCGGGTACCAAGACATGGAGACCGAAGTGATCAAGGAAGGTGAGGAACCAGGAAGTTCAATGAAAGTTTCCAGTGGAATGTCAAGAACGGGATCCTATAAGGAAAAGAAGGTGTTCAGACCCCTCACCAAGGAAGAGTTTGAGTCATTCCGACAAGAGACAAGGGATGACGAACGAAAAGTGATGGAGAGAGGTCGAACCGAGATGAGAACCAAGAAAAAGACCAAAGGAAAGACAGTTGCGAAGAAGCAGAAGAGGAACATAAAGAGAAAGGAAAGGAGACAGCGTACCACAGCCTGTCGAGCGTTGGCATGGGAAGGAGAGTGCAAAAGGGACCCATGCCCATTTTCTCATGACCAGGCTGTCATCGATGGATTGAAGAACCAACATTGCAGATTCTTCTTGCACGGTTCGTGCAGGTATGGATCGAAATGCAAGTTGCTCCACGACGACAAGGAGATGGAATTGGTACGTATGGAGAAGAAGACGAAACAGCTCATTTCTCAGCTTGAAATGCGACCACCACCAGCACCAAAGAAACGAAGAGGTGAGAAGCCAAAGGAAGAAGAGGTGAAGACTGAAGTAGAAGATGAGGCAATGCCAGAAAGACCTCATGAAGATAACATGGATGATCCCGAAGAAGAGAGAGAACTCAGTGTGACCACAGAGATCAAAGGACTTCGGGAGTTCGAGAATCGCACAGAGGAACAGATGTACATGAACGCACCATGGCGAAATCCGGGACTCTTCGAAAACGAAGGCAAAGGCGACAAAGGTCGCGGAAAGGGCAAGGCAAAGAGAGGAAAAAGGAAATCCGGCCGAGCTGCGTCAAGTGCTGCAAGGGTTGATGCAGATGATGATGATGATGATGCAGTAACCACTAGGACTGAAGATGAGATGGATGATGTTAGGATGACCAATGCTGAACGTAGAGCAGCAAATCCAGGGGACGCTGATGAAACCCATGGAATCATGAGTTGGGCGGATTTGAACTCGTTCGAATCGAAAGAGTTTGAACCAGAACTCCAGGGTTTGTACAAGCATGTGGTTGTCAATTTTGACACTGGAGCAGCGGTTTCAACCGTACCGCTGAAAGAGTTTGGAAGGTATGCATTCGGTGAAAAGCAGTCCACCCGCTACAAAACAGCCTCAGGTGAACTACTTTCTGACCATGGCCAAGTACAGTTGTATGGCAGTGACGCCAACTACACGGACAAGAGCTTGAATGCGAGGGTGACCGATGTGCACCGCATCTTGGCTAGTGGGTCGGAAGTGTGTAAGAGGAATATGGTAATATTGGACAACCAGGGTGGTAACATAGTTCCAGCTGGGTCGAATGCAGCAAAGAGAATCCAAAAGTTTGTAGACCAAGTGTTGAAAGAAGAAGGTGGGAAATCCACCAAGTTGCGAATTGAAAGGGGTGTCTACGTGTTTGACTACTGGGTTGACGAAGACACCACAAAGCAGAAGTTGGAAAGGAAGTCGGGAAACTAACGGCAGGGTTGTCCGTAAGTCCGTTAGAAGAAGAAGAGAGAATGGAAGAGTCGCCAGCAGAAGCTGGGGCCCCTGCTGTTTCAGCAGAGGACCCGGCAGAAGCTGTCGAGGTACAGAGGCCAAAGGTCACAAGAAAAATCAGCGATCCAACAGCCCAGGAATTAGAGGAACATCTTGCCACAGCTCACGCAGTACACAGATCGTGGTGTGGCCATTGCATGAGAGCTCGTGCAACGTACGCAAAGCACAGCTCAGTTTCACGGGATGAGGACAGTGAAATCCCAGTCGTATCAATAGACTATTTCTACTATGGTGAGAAGGATGGAGAATCAACGAACTTGCAGGTGAAAGACAGCAAGTCAAAGATGACGTGGGCGACTACAATACCCACGAAAGGACCAGACCTGTTTTCAGTCAACTTCATGTTGTCTTGTTTGAACGAAACAGGGTACAACAGGTTGATTCTGAAGAGTGACGGAGAACCAGCAATCGTCGCTCTGAAACGAGAAGTGAAATCCAAAGCAGCAGGAATTGAGATAATCCTGCAAGAAGCACCTACTGGGGACCACAGTGCCAACGGTGCAGTTGAAGTCGCAATCAGGGACGAGAAGCGACAGTCAAGAGCACTTTTGAGTGAACTTGAGGAACACTTTGGAAAGTTGGAAGATACGCATCCATTACCCACATGGCTAAGTAGACACGCGGCATTTTGCCTGAGTAGATTCAGTATTCAAGATGATGGGAAAACCCCATACCAAAGATTGACTGGAAGAAAATGGAACAGACCTATGGTGACGTTTGGCGAAAAGGTCTATTTTAGACCGTTGGATTCCTACAGGGTTTCCAAGGAAGGTGAATCCGAAAGAAAGAAAGGAGATCTAGCAAGTAGGGTCATGAGTGGCCACTACGTTGGAACGCACGGCAGGAACGCCGATGTGTTGGTGATGACAAGTCAAGGTGTGATTAGAGGCAATACCGCCCACAGGAAACCAGAATCGGAGAGATGGGACCGAACGGAACTCAAGGAATTGAAAGGTACGCCCTGGGCGCTTCGCCCAAGGAGTGCCGAAGATGTGGAACACAGGTTACACATCACGTTGCCAGAGACAACGCAGAGATTAACCCCGAGTGTACGGGATGGAGGTCCTAGGAATCTGTACGTCCGAAAGAAGGACTTGGAAAAGGAAGACGGTACAATGGACTACACACCAGGTTGCAGAGGTTGTGAGGCAGTCATGGTTGGATTGCCAGCAGTTGCACATAATGCAACATGCAGATACAGGTTAGAACAGAGGTTGCTACAAACGGAAGAAGGAAGGAAACGTCTAGCGGACGTCGAGAAAAGGAAAGAGGAAGGTACCGAAAAGAAAAAGGCAAAACAAGTGATCACAGGGATGCCGGATCCCACTGAAGGTGAAGTGAGATCATCAGTAGCACTTGGACAACCTGAAGAACCTGAACAACCAACATCGCCGAAAAGGACAAGATCAGACGGAGGAAGAGTTGAAGGTGAGAAGAGAACAAGGTCAGATACCTTGAGGTCAGGAAAACGGATACCAGATAACATCGATGATCTGTACTACGAGGCTCAGGAACAGGAGGGGCCGTTGGTTGTTTCAACCAGTGGAACTTCCGAGGGACAAGCGGTTGCTCCGGCTGTTTCAGCCAGTGGGACTGCTTCAGGATCCGCAGCCCCAGGTGCAGACATGAGTCATGATCAATTTTGGTCACCAGTTACATCGCCAAGTCACGTTAGAGATGTCCAGTCGTTGTTTCACTTTAGTATTGAACCCGACGAAGATTGGGAAATTTCATTGCAAGATTTGAAATCTCTTGGAGCACATGATGTGAGTGAAATCTTTTCACCACCCAGATTGACAGAGAAGTGCAGGAACTATGGACTATTGCCAGGATACGCAGTTGATTTGGAGACTGGATGGAACTTGTTGAATCCAAATCATGTGAAGAGTCTGGAAAGGATCTTGGACGAGGAGGATCCATACCTGGTAACTGGAAGTCCACCGTGTGAAGCGTTCTCACCGCTTCAAGCTCTAAACGCAGGGAGAGTTGATCCAGCTGTTCGACAGCAAAGGCTGGAAGAAGGCAGAAGGATGCTAAAGCAAGCATGCGAGTACTACAAGCAACAGTCAAGGAGGGGTAGGTACTTCCTACACGAACATCCAAAACCAGCAGCCAGTTGGAATGAAGAATGTGTCAAGGAAGTTCAGAACCTACCCGGGACATTCACAATTGACGGACCAATGTGCAGATGGAAAATGGTGGCTAGAGACGCCAGTGGTGAATCTTATGTCAGGAAAAATACCAGATGGGTTACAAATAGCCCGGAGTTGGCTAAGATTCTGTCGGGCGTTTGCTCGAACGATGAAGGAACTGGAGAATGGCATAGACATGTTCATCTCGTCAATGGACGTGCCAAAATGGCACGGGTATACCCACCAGAACTGGTGAAAGGAATGCTAAAGGCCATCAAGCAACAAATGAAAGCAGATGGTGAGTACCGAGAAGTGAATGCATTAGATGCAGGACCAAGCCCGGATGACGATCCACATCTTGAGGACTACGAAGATGAGTACGTACCGAAGTTTGAAAACAAAGGCGACGAACAGATCTTCTTTGATGAGATCACAGGAGTTCAGTTGGAAACGGAGGAGGTACTGAAAGCGAGACAAGAAGAACTTGCTTGGGTGAAGAAACAGGAAGTCTACGTCAAGCGACCAATAAGCGAATGTTGGGCAATTACAGGAAAAGCACCCATCACGTTGAAATGGATTGATCGCAACAAAGGCGATTCAACGAAGAAGAACTACCGTTCACGTTTAGTGGTTCGGGAAGTGAAGAAGAAACATGGTTCACTCCCAGGACACCAGCTGTTTTCGAACATGCCGCCATTGGAGGCGGTAAAGCTACTATGCTCAATGTTAGCCACAAGTGGCAGTAACGAGCAGCTGGCACTCTACGACATATCACGTGCGCATTTCTACGGAAAGGCACAAAGAACGGTATACGTCACATTGCCACAAGGTGACGAGGAAGAAGGAATGTGCGCATTACTGCAGCGCACTATGTATGGGACACAGGACGCCAGCCATGTCTGGCAGTCAGACTACAGCGAGTTGTTGAAGAAACACAATTTCGAATGTGGAAAAGCTTGGACATCCGTGTTCTGGCACAAAGAGAAGAACATCAAGCTGCTAGTACATGGAGATGACTTTTTAGTCCTGAGTGACAAGGCAGGACAAGAATACATGCAAAAGGTTTTGCAGGAGAGATACGAGTTCAGATTTGTCGGACTCATTGGAAAAGGTGGAGGAACACATCTGACAGTCTTGAACCGAATTGTGACCTATGACCACGAAACAGGAAAAGTGACATACGAAGCCGATCCAAGACACGCAGAAATGATCATCAGACAGTTGAACTTGGAAAATGCGAAAAGTGTGGTGACACCGTCAGAGAAGAAAAAGAGCAGTGAAGTGCTGGCATCGGTAGGTCTTCCACCGGTGACGGCAGAACAGACCACACTATACAGAAGTCTAGTGATGAGAGCACAGTTCTTAGCACAAGACCGTGCAGACATAGCAGAAACAGTGAAATCACTGACGAGAAAGATGAAAGCACCAAATGATGCAGACGTCAAGGACTTGAAACGATTGGGTAGATACCTGGTCGGAAAACCAAGGGTCGTGTGCACCTACGAACCTCAGAGGACACCCAAGGTGATTAAAGTCTACACTGACAGCGATCATGCGGGTTGTTTGTTGACGAGGAAAAGCACAACAGGATTCGTTGTCATGATGGGACAACATTGCATCAAACATGGATCGAATCTCCAATCGACCATTGCTCTGAGCTCGGGAGAAAGCGAGTTCTATGCACTCGTACGAGCATCCGCAATTGGTTTGAGCATCAAGGCGCTCATGCAAGATTGGGGAGCCGAAAGGGCATTAGAGATCTACAGCGACAGTAGCGCTGCACGCGGTACAGCGAGCAGGCGAGGTCTCGGAAAGCTAAGACACGTCCAGACCCGTTATCTATGGATACAGGAACGTGTGGCTGAGAACCACCTGCGGATCTGCCCGATCGGTACGAAGAACAATCTAGCCGATCTATGTACGAAACCCATAGGACGCGAAACTTGTGAGAGACCATGAAGAACATGTGTCAGGAGTATCGTCTAGGGAAAGCTGTTGGAGCAAAGAAGTTAGAATCAACAAAGGTGTAGCGAAGCTAGCACCTGCGTTGAAGGAGGGGTGTTGAAATTTACACCTCCACATAATTGTCACACAACCACTGTGTTGTACGTAGCCATTTTGGCTCAAGGGTAAAACAGTTGAGTGTGCTGTTTGCTGTGCATATTTTCTGAAAGATATATATATGTATGTATACATTGTTTGTTTCGAGTCATTCGGGATCTGTCCGAATTTGGGAGGTCAAGTTGCTGAGGTCACGACAGGTGCAGTTGACACGTGTCTTGGAGAGGATGACGACCACAGCACTTCTCGAGTTGCCGCTCGGCGATCGTGGATGTTTGGCCAAGCGGAGCACTCGTTAAACATGACAGATATACCTTGGAGTTTAAAACGTAATTTAACTACACTATGATCATATGCTACTGTTTCTGACATTGCTATATGTTTCTATGTAAATCAGTTCATATATTGCAAATGAAGATTATAATAGTTTATATTGAATCCACAGACTAAGGTTACTTCGTAATATATTACTATTATATATTGTGATATATATATATATACGTATCTTGCAGCTTGGATTATGTTTGGATTACCCGTCATACATGTCACCCCAGTGACTGGACCACCACTGATCAGTTTGTCCTGGCTGATTGATTAGATGCCTAGTGACTCGCTATTGATAATCTATATAATCTCGGTCGAGTAAGTGGATAGCTAGATATAGCATGATACAAATCAAACCTGGTTGATTAATGATCTGGGAGTGCCGAATAGTGATGTCATTTGCGGTTACAATCATACCCCAATAAAAGAACCCGGAGGTGAATGACATCCGGGGCTGACCTGCAAGGTTTTGTGTATCCGGTTGAGGAACCAAGAAGCTACCAAGACTTTTCGAAATGATGGACGTAACCAACAAGAGATGAGATATCTAGTGATGAGGGGAATGTGGTGATGTTGTTTTTCTTGTGGGGATATCATGTGTGGCAACTTGGGGGTTCAACCAGAGCTGGATGGGGTTAACCCCACGGTTTTAACCGTGTTTTTCCCCAAAACCAAGCGATGGCGAGGGCCCTTTATATCCCTTGATATTTATACAGTCCCATTATACTGGCGTGTTAAAAAGGGATTCCCATGATGTGTTTTTTGCAGTTCAAGCCCTTGAAACTAGTGATTTTGATGATAATTGGGCTTATCATTCCATCAGTTTTCTGACATCCAAAACTGGTATAACTCGGGCCATAGCTGGCCCACTCCAAGCCCGCGAGGTTGGCAACGTGCCTCCCCAGCGAGATCTTTCGCCTCTACGAGGCCGCACGAGGTGAGGGACCGCTGCTGCATGACATAGGAAGCGGTCCCGTGATGCTCCTCTTTCCACTGTGAGGATCAGTGAGGCGTGCTGCGCTTGTGCTGTTTCCTCTTACTTGGGGCTGCCCAGAATATGGTGAATTAAACACTGTCAAAGATGGTCAAAGCTCATCTTTCCATGTATGCGTCATTATGCGTCCTCTTTTTCCCCACAACTGAAGGACTACCAGAATTTCCCCCATGAAAATCTCCTTCTGTACTGGCAGCCCGTTGGGTCCCAAGTGGCGATGACGAACACATGATGTTTGAAGGTTGCTGGCGAAGGTCGAGCTGTTGTTGATGTGCATCCCACGAATCGGATCCGTGCTTGATAATCAATATACAACCCCTATAATGATTATATCAGTGGGGATGTTCCATCTATAACTGGGAGATACACCGGGTACAACCTATTTACAATGAAACCTATTGATGTCTTATAATTCATAGGAGTTTCAATCAAGAACATGCATTGTATATCAGTAATCTGTGTGGTTGTGGCTTGAAGGCAGGTCTTGATTGGCTGCAAGCCGCTTTTGTTTGGCGGTGGGTGCACATGTCGGCGTATTTAATACATGCATACGTACAATACATAGATACATCGATACATAGAGACATGCACACATGCACACATGCATACCTGGTTGGTGGTTTCGAATATTTTTTATTTTCCATAATATATGGGATAATCCTTCCCATTGACTAATATTTTTCAGAGGGGTTGAAACCACCAATCAGATACATTAAACAAGTGAATGAATAGACGCATGATTGAACGTCTCCTCTACGTAGAATAGGATGGCATCGGATGGTAAAGATTGGAAGGGATCAGAAAAGATTCGCTACTGTAGATACAGTTCAGCCGAGACAAAGATTTTTTGTTTTGGTGAGGATCAAAGTGCCTCTTGAGTGAATATTCAGAGATGTGTTTTTGGGGTATGTACCTTCTCAGCAAAGACATGGATCCGCAGATTTTTTGTAACAACTTTGAATTTCTCACTAGAAATGCTGATGTGTCGCGGCTTCTGATTTCTCTTCCTTCTCCCTATCCTTGTTGCTTTGATGTTGTCCAATAGCGTTACCGGGGTTGTGCTTGCTTCAAAGTCTTGTTGCCATTGTTTCTCTTGTTGGTTGTATTGGTCTTGGTGCTGTGATTGCCGCTTTTGTTTGTCCTTGTGTGTTTGCGTTTTTCTGTTGCAGTCTATGTACATCTGCTATATTATATACACAGATAGATCATATAACTATTTTATATGTCATGCTGTCCTTCTTTTGGTATCACATGTTGCGTCTCTGTCCAGTCAATATTGCTTTGATGAAGGCAATTTGAGCTTTGAATAAGATAACAATGTTTTGGTTATTTGCCTTATTCGAATTCAAAAGGCGGCGACAATGGCAGCAACGACCGCGGCAGCAATGCGATTGCCATCAGCAGCAACAGTGCGACATGGTCAAAGCCGGGGAATGCACTGATTGGCTGATGTTCCGAACTTGCCTGTGCTGGAGGACAACAGATTCAACTCAAGCTGCAGATGGATATACCCTAGGGTAAACGATGGTAAACGTTTAGATAGGTGTGGAAAGCCGTGGTTTCCTCTGGAGAATAGTCTACAAATGGTTGATTTTCCACATCCATGTTAGTTTACTGATAGGTAATGGGATATATTATATATTTGGATATAATATGGACAAAGGATGGGTAAGATATGACATGTGTTTTTGTGAACACACCCAATAAGAGATGATTAATGATATATAGTCTATATAGTCAAAGATCCCCATGATAGTTTCACCTCTTCCAAATCTGATGCCCTCTGAATTCCGGATGAAGTGGAAGCACAGTCGAAGTCTTATCCCTTCACGGGCGCAGTCTGAAGGTGGGCTGTCATTTCTTTTCAGAATTATGCAAAGTAAGGTGCTGCAGACGATTCGTCCCCGCACGAACGAATGTATGAAAGAATCGAGCGAGGTCTTCCTTCTTCGCTCATTCCGCATTGCTGTGTATGGTATGGCTGCATGCAGCAGGCAGATAGGCCATGCGCAGAAAGCCGGAATGATTCCTCTATGTCGAATTTTGCCGGATAATTTCTTGCTGACAAAGATTGATTTTTCTACCAGGAAAAAAATCTATATTTCTAAAACTCCTCTATTTCAAAAAAATGGCCTGCTCAATTTAGACTTAGTAGTTCCCCACCTGCCAGGTGAGGGTTGTTAGATTTTATGTCAGTTGCCTGCTCCTCTCCTCCTCTCCTCTCCTCCTCCTCCTGCTCAACCGCGACCCTCGACGCACAGTGTTCTCTGTCGGACCTCAACCACGACCATCCACGCCCAGTGTTCCCTGCCGGACCTCAACCACGACCATCCCCGCCCAGTGTTCCCTGCCGGACCTCAACCACGACCTTCCACGCCCAGTGTTCCCTGCCGGACCTCAACCGCGAGTATCCACGCCAAGTGTTCCCTGCCGGACCTCATGTAGGAAGATATGGGACAAAGAATGTGCAGAAGAAAGTTAGAAAGAATGTCAGACAATATGGCCCACTGACATGTTTATATCCTGTTTGACAGACTGACATGCACAATGACCTGCCAGGTGAAACAAATGATTGGGATAGTTAGTTGGGCAAAAGTCCCGTGACAAAAGCTTCAGACAAAAGTGGTGTCAACAAGCTGTTTTGAAATGTCATGGTGGGGATCACTCGAAGCAAAGTAATTTGTCTTTTGGACAAAACAACAACATGTAATGCCCATACCTAGCACCACCTTTCGGGCTAAAAATTAAGCCTTTCCCTAAAAGGATCCTTTTAGATCCTCGGGCTGAAAATTAAACTTCGGGCAGATTTTGCCATTCAGTCAGATTTTGCCATTATAACCAGGCCAGGCTCAAGGAGTATTCCCATTGTTTTTTGATTTTGAAAGACGATAGTCGGGCGGATTCTCCCACTATTCAGGCTGATTTTCCTGAACTGCATTCTTTTGATGTTCCTTGAAGCTGCCTCGTAGTCAAAACACCATACTCAAAAAGGCTTCAGGTGGATTTTTGGGACTCTGGCGGATTTTAAGAACTCGGGCAGAAAAACAGCCTTTTTGAGCTCGGGCTGAAATTTAAGTCTGAGGAGGCCCTAGGTATAGTGAGCAGTGGCCCGACCCTGACCCCTAACATTAGTGTTTGATAGTGTTTGTTATAACCAGCATTCCCTTCCCATTGGATCTTTTTCTTTTGGGGTCTCGGGCTATTTGATTATGGGATGGGGTTGCAAGATATGGCTGGAAGAAAAACATAGCATTGGTCGTACAACAAGTGTTTTCCGGCTGGCATCGAGTGCGTTTTTTTGGCAGAGTCCAAGCATGACTTGTAAGGCGGAACCTGCTTGATGCGGTACTTGGCATTCGGAAAGTTTGTTGCGCAGATCCCAACTTAACTGCATTATGTTGTGGTAACTTATGTTATCTCGAGTGTTTAATTCTTAATGCTGATTAAGCATCCATTTTTGTGGGAGTCACCGAAACAGTATACTATGATATACTATCTTCCGCCAGTGGCACATTGGCCACCACATTGAAAGGTTTTTTTTGAGTCATGACTTGGCGCTGCACGGCTGTGTACGCCCTCCCTCCGTCGGTACAAGGAAATCCTGGTGAACGGGAATCAATTTGGTGAAAAATGGGTGAATAGGAACAGAGTTACGAGGAATGCGTTGCTGTCAGGAAAGATTGGGACTTCCTGTCATCCACAGGAGGGCTGATATTTTGCGAACGAGGGAGGCTTTGGCAGAAGGATCTGTAGCAGAGGCCTGATAAACCAGCGCAAAATCCAGAAAAGAGTTCCAGCATTTGGCATCAACAGTTCCAGCAGAGTTGGACAATGATTTGTCAAAGTGCGTAAACCCTCTTATCATCGAAGAAAGTTTAGAAGTGAAACTTCCCACAATATGGACAGATGGAAAAGTAATGAAAAGCAGAGGTGGGAATAGTGAGAGAAGAGAAAAGAATAAGAAAGACGATCAGAGAAGAGAACGAGTCAGAAGAAAGAAGATGCAGGTGCGCGAAAAGGTAGAAAAAACGCGAAACATTGTTCCCCACCTGCCAGGTGAGGGTTGTTAGATTTTATGTCAGTTGCCTCCTCCTGCCTCCTCCTGCCTCCTGCCTCGTCCTCCTCCTCCTCCTCTCCTCCTCTCCTCCTCGTCCTCCTCATCCTCCTTGTCATCCTTGTCGTCCTTGTCGTCCTCGTCGTCCTCGTCGTCCTCGTCGTCCTCGTCCAACTGCGACCCGCGATCCACAGTGTTCTCTGCCGGACCTCAACCACGACCATCCACGCCCAGTGTTCCCTGCCGGACCTCAACCACGACCAGCCACGCCCAGTGTTCCCTGCCGGACCTCATCTGCGAGTATCCATGCCAAGTGTTCCCTGCCGGACCTCAACCGCGAGCCAGAAGATATGCCAGATAGATATGCCAGAAGATATTCCAGAAGATATGCCAGATAGAATGCCAGATAGAATGCCAGATAGAATGCCAGAAGATATGTCAGATAGAATGCCAGAAGATATGCCAGATAGAATGCCAGAAGATTTGCCAGATAGAATGCCAGATAGAATGCCAGAGATATGTCAGAATATATGCCAGAACATATGCCAGAAGATATGCCAGATAGAATGCCAGATAGAATGCCAGAAGATTTGCCAGATAGAATGCCAGAAAATATGCCAGAAGATATGCCAGATAGATATGCCAGAAGATATGCCAGAAGATATGCCAGAAGATATGTCAAAATATATGCCAGAAGATATGTCAGATAGAATGCCAGATTGAATGCCAGAAGATATGTCAGATAGAGTGCCAGAAGATATGCCAGATAGAATGCCAGAAGATTTGCCAGATAGAATGCCAGAAGATATGCCAGAAGATACGAAGACTGTACGCTTAAAGTTATAAGACTTTACAGACTTAGCCTAGATATACAGAAGTTAAAGGATTTATGTTGGAAGTTAACATGACTTATCAAAAAGATAAAAGGAAGTTATGTTAACTTTAATAACT